AGTAGTAGTAGTAGTAGTAGTAGTAGTAGTAGTAGTAGTAGTAGTAGTAGTAGTAGTAGTAGTAGTAGTAGTAGTAGTAGTAGTAGTAGTAGTAGTAGTAGTAGTAGTAGTAGTAGTAGTAGTAGTAGTAGTAGTAGTAGTAGTAGTAGTAGTAGTAGTAGTAGTAGTAGTAGTAGTAGTAGTAGTAGTAGTAGTAGTAGTAGTAGTAGTAGTAGTAGTAGTAGTAGTAGTAGTAGTAGTAGTAGTAGTAGTAGTAGTAGTAGTAGTAGTAGTAGTAGTAGTAGTAGTAGTAGTAGTAGTAGTAGTAGTAGTAGTAGTAGTGATTTTAGTTACTTGAGATCACGAAGGAATCATCTTACTTTCAAGCCATTTATTTAAAATCCGTCATTTTAATTACCGTTGGTAAGAGAATTTATTACTTAAAATGACTATACTTCAATAATAGATTAGATTGGCAATAATCTTTCTCCTCTGACTTGCATAGCGAAAGCAGTCTATTACAAGGTTAGGCAACCAGAGTAATGAAATGTAATCTGGTCAGTGACTTTCAGCACGCTGATTTTAAATGATTCTAATGAAGAGGTGACACCCTCTCGGATACTTCTGGGTGACTGGAAGCGGAGGAATGATGGTTGACTTTAAACTTTGCTTCTAATATAGTACATTACATGCAGTTTCAGACCTCAATTTCTATTTCCTTGAACTAGCTTTTTGAAATGTAATAAATTGCAGTCATAAATCAAGTACTTATGGTCTTATAATGACGTAGTTTTGCAACATATTAAGAGCATGACATGAATTATAAGAAAAAATATTTCGAAGATGATAATGCGTAACTGTGAGTGAAGTACTACTAAAGGTACTACTTTGAAACTGTTTTAAAATAGAGGGTATTCCTCAGCAGTCACATGAAAGTCGAAATTAATAATTGTGTCTAGTAAACAGTAATTCGTTATGCAAAACTTACCTTTGGCTTACACTTTCATACTAACCACTTGTTCTGTAATTAAGGAAATGGCTAGATGGATACTTTTTCTTTATCCTCTTTTTCATCCACGTTCAACCAAAATGAACAATCATTAACTAGTGGACTCAAAGTTAACGTATATCACAAGAAGAAGGATACGTAACTGCACTGTAGTTCCTATGGTCTTTTATCAATTATTTGAGGTTCAGGTAATGTCAGCCGTTACTTAATGCATGCGACATCAAAAGAAGAATTGCTTAACCGTTGTACAACTCTGTGAACATGGATATTAACCACATTTAACCTACTTTTATAACAGGGAAAATGTAGCGTCATAAGGATTCGTTATGAATCTAGTGGGTTTAACATGAATTGCATTATTTTCTTTTGTCTTGTTCCATCTTCTTTCATGAAAGACATTTTCGAGCATTTATTAAGCATTTTGCATCTGTCTATGGATCACTTCTTTAAATTCCTAATAATTCATATTATTGTTGGATCGTTACCGCAGTTATTTGCCACTTTAGTCAGAAGAGATAAAACTGAAATCATGAGAAGGACTTGGTAATCTCTGAAAGTAATTAAATGGTTTCTCAGAGAAATGACAGTTGTTTTTCTATCTATTTAAAACATGATTATCCTGGTTGACATCCTCCAAAATCAATCGAGTTGATCTCGTTTCTTTTTTCATTTATTTTAGCACCCATGACAATGTGGCTAATCAACTTAACACTTGACATTTCAGGCGGTGGGTCCCGGGCTGAAACCTTGAGCAACTGGATAGTATCTTTAGTCCTCACACAATTACCGAGTCCCCTGAACTAGTAGACAACATACTAGGTTGAGCCATATTATTATTATTATTGACCACATTCAGGTCAGTACTGTAGAAAGTAGTTTAACAACATCTTATAATTATGACTCGTGCTCTATTCTTTTAACTGATCATAACTTATCGTTATTATGATCACAGTTCCAAAACTATCCTGTCCTATGCAAGTTTGACTTAAGGGTCGAAGAAACAGAAAAATGTAACAGAATAGTTCTTTTGCTCCGTAAGCTGCAATCAAAAATATGGTAGCAAAATTATAGTAGCATATCAATAAAAACCACAATTCTTTATGAATAAAAAGAAGAAAGGCAGAATAGAATCTCATGGAAAAGACCAAAGTTAGTAAAGAAAATGAAGTACACCTACACTTCTGACACCGATTCTAACTTATATTTTGGGTTGTCTGACACTACCACCCACCGCTATCACGGAGGTATACAACCTAATGAACTGACCGAAATAATTTTCACATATGCACGATATTTTGCACCTCGGTTCTACTATGCACTGTTAGTGAATGCATCATATGTTTTGGCATTTCATTCCTGTATATGACTGGATCATAGGAAATAGCAAAGAAAATCTACGAATGGCTAATGAAAAAGAAAGGGTGTTTTTTTCTTTTTCAACTTCACTTATGCTTAAAACGTAATCTAGAGAATGATGAAAACTGTTCTGAATATGAGTCACATGAGGAACATCGATATGCATATCATAAGTATATATGAAGGCTTTTCAAGATAATGTATGCCAATTAGATGTGCTTCATTATTGAGGAGTAAAAATTTCGTGACCAAATCTATTTCTATATATAATTCGTTCTCTTTCCATCTATCCACTGATCTATTTGTTGTAAAGGTAAAAATAAAAATAAATTCATTATAATTTAATATCTGTATATGCAAATAGTTTTTATAACAGATCCTATTGAGTATTTTTTTTGTCTATTCCGGGAACTGAGATTCATATAACTATTAGTTACACCATATTAAATAGCTTAAAACGTAATCTAGAGAATGATGAAAACTGTTCTGAATATGAGTCACATGAGGAACATCGATATGCATATCATAAGTATATATGAAGGCTTTTCAAGATAATGTATGCCAATTAGATGTGCTTCATTATTGAGGAGTAAAAATTTCGTGACCAAATCTATTTCTATATATAATTCGTTCTCTTTCCATCTATCCACTGATCTATTTGTTGTAAAGGTAAAAATAAAAATAAATTCATTATAATTTAATATCTGTATATGCAAATAGTTTTTATAACAGATCCTATTGAGTATTTTTTTGTCTATTCCGGGAACTGAGATTCATATAACTATTAGTTACACCATATTAAATAGCCAGAATTCAAACTGATGACTTTCATATCACTTTGTGTGATAAAGCGTAGGTGGCAGCCAACTCTGTTTTATGAGAAAAATTATTAGTCACATTTTGTTTGCTCACCTGTAGTTCATTTCTATTAGGATTTAGTCTAGTTGTGACTGGTCTAGTGGTATTCTCAAGAACGAATATATACTAATGTTGGAAAACAACAACCAGTTAAATAAACCACCCAGAAGTCAAAGTCAAAGAGGGAACCACTAACCTGTCAGGTTTCGATCTCACTTGATCGCGTTTCAAAGCAAAACTCGAAGTCTACAGGTATAAACTCTGAATGAGATAATTAAACCCATGTTTATCTGAGCATCTGTCAATTTATGCCTCACAACTTTCTCAATGAATTATTGAACTCGACACTGTTTTACCCTTTTTTCATCATCAAGCGAAATTTTGTGCACGCGATGAGACAAAACAATGCTATCAAGGGGTTCACGATATCAACAATTAATAAAGCTTCAGAGGTTGACGTAAAACTGAAGTCATTTTTTTGTTTTGGTGCAACTGTAATCTGAAAAAATAACAATAAGTATATTTTGTCCTGTTGAAACCAAGTGATATATTGTATTACCGACTGCTTCCCCAACTTGTTGAACTAAGATGATCAAAAGAACTTCCAGATGTTATCTGTTTAGAACAAATTTCTCTGTTCAGTTTCTTGGATGCTTAGTCCGTATATTTGAGACACGGACGTAAAACATGCGAGATTCACACAAGAACAGAAAACAATTATAGAATTAGTTTTAATCTCAAGATATTTTTATTAAATTTTACCTTTTATGAATACATTCACGTCAGGTTAAAACGAAACAACGCCTTCAATTTATAACTAAGTGTCGAGGATTCATACAAGGCGTTCAGTTCAGTCCTTTTACTCTAACAGTAGGAGAGGTTAGGCTTCAGCAACGACAACAGAGGAGTATTAAATGATAGATAGAGCCTATAATGTAAGATCCTAGTGGATAGCTTACAGGTGATCAAAGCTACGTGTGCTACTTTCAAGATGTAGGTGCATCCAGTTCACAAGCCTCAAACAGGACAAAATAAATGTTCTAAACTCCAATTTAACTGAATTCAAACTAACCGTTTGATGGTTGTAGTTTCGTGTTGTTATACAGGGAGGGATTGCTTAACCAATGTTAGCAGATGTTATTCTGTGTGAATGCCCCGATACTGCCGGATATTCATGATGCTGCATTCATCTTAGCGACTAGCACTGGAATTCAAGTCAAAATCTGTTCACTTTCCATTATTTCAATTAGATCATAAACAGACCACTTGGGATCAAAATTTGAGTCGGAAATGAAAACAATTTTATCACTGTCATTAGTAGATGTGATATACATAAATGTCACCGCTTTGGAGATTGTCTTGCGCAATACAATCCCTGTAACTCAAAACGTTTTATCTTATATCTCCTTTCCAGTTCACCAAATTACTTTGGAAATTTCACAATATCTAAGAGTCCACAAATGTTTGAATATCTTCAGGGAAGCAAACTGCTTTCTCTCCATTCTATTAAACAACTAAATATTTTGTTTTTAATCCATTAATAAATTTACTAGTTTGTTTGTTTGCTTTTCTTTCTTGTTTACTACATGATTTCGTCTACTAACTGAATCTATTGCCATTGTTATTTGTCTTTTTTCGTGGCTGGGGATGGAATGTATCTGATTGTAACGATGTCAATACCAATGGTGGTGATGGCGGTATACTTCAATCCTTTGAATTGCATTAATTCGAATGAACTGTTGCTCAATAATGACACTACTATTATTACTAATGTAAATCAATCTACGATCACTAATAGATTCTTCTGTGAGTTGTTATTTCATGCTTAATGTTTCGCTCTCCACATATTTTCCGTTGATTTTATATATTCCTAGTGTATTACGTTTAGGTAAAATTTGTTTTTTATTGAAAGTATTTTCATTTATCCACTTAATGGGTTGTTTGCGTTTAGCTTATTCAACGAGGAGAAAAAATTTAATTAAACTGTATAAATAAATAATGATAAAAATAATGGATAAATCGATACTAGAGAGAATTATGGCAGCATTAATTAGTTGCTTCCTAGTGTCTTGGAAATGTTTCAACACCTATTCTGCGTCTAATAATAACTATTGTAGTGGCCCAGCTTAGAAATTTGTATTCCACCAAGACAATATGAAAGTGATATCATTGTTCAAATACACAGACTATATGAAAAGTATAAGTGTAAAACTTAGGCACTGTGGTGGAATGTAATTCCATATTAGATTTGTTTATTTGATATATAGAGCACAGTGATACAGTATTATTTGCTTGATTAGGTTTGGAGCACAAATTATTGCTCATAACCATATCAGTGTAATCACACTTCTTTCGACATCTGATTTTGTAGTCCTGTCACCTGATCTCTCTTTGTTTTTTTGTTTTTTGATTGGTAGTAAAGTTTTCCATACCTCTGGTATAGGTGTTGCGTCATTCCTACTACATGTGTTGGGTGTGTGTGTGTATTCGATGAACAAAGATTCAGTAATTAATCTCTCTCTCCACCTAGCTATATTAGTACAGTGGCTTTGTCCCACCCTATTGTGTGGTTGTGTGTTAATGAGTGTAATGCAATGGCCGAGTGTTTTTCTAGATAATTGATCTTATTGGGGTCTGTCGTTCTATGTTTAGCTGAATTCCTATGTTCTGCTAACCTAACTGACCCCGACCGGCTAGTTTGACCTATGTATTTGATCTCACAGTCATTACACGGAATTCGGTAGATTATATTATTTTGCCTAGTTGGTCCTATCGAATCTTTTAGCCGACAAAGCTTACCTCTAAGTGAGTTTGTTAGTTTAAATGCCACCCTAATTCCAACCTTGTTGAGAATCCTACGTATGGTTTCTGATGTTCCTTCCTTGTATGGTATCACAATAGAGGTGTTGATTTCCTTTCTACTTATATTGTCGCTATTATTTGTATTTGTATCAGTGTTATTATTTTGCTTCTTATGTGTCCGTGTGAATTTCTTAATAAAATGATGGGGACAATGATTAATTATTAACGCTTCTTTTATGTGTTTCAATTCCTTTTTTAAGTCCTTACAATGACTAGTGAGTTTCTCAGCTCTGTTATTTAGACATTTGACTAAACCCGCTTTAACTGACACTGGATGAGATGACTTGAAGTCTAGATACCTGTTAGAATGTGTTGGTTTTCTGTAGACGGTAGTATCCAAACCACCATCTGTCCTTCGTTTTATTCTGCAATCCAACATAGGTAGTTCTTCTTGTTCATTTTCTACTTCGTAAGTGAACTGGAATGCGTTAACTACTGAGTTTATGTATATCAAGAAACTGTCGATATGTTCCGATTTCAACACTGTAAGTGTATCATCCGCATATCGCCACCATATCTTAGGTGTCGGATTATATGTTCGTAAAGCCATCTCTTCCCAACTATCCATAAATATATCTGATACTATAGGGGATATCGGTGATCCCATTGCTACTCCTTCTGTTTGTCTATATATCATTTCCTGAAACTTGAAGACTGTAGAGGCCAAGCATAACTGCACTCCTAACATGATTTCATCAACCAATGCCTTGGTTCTTTGAGTAAGTTGTGAGTCGGTATCTAGTTGATTTCTGACTGCCTCCAATGCTATACTGATTGGTATTTTAGTATAAAGACTTGTTACGTCAAAACTAACCATTTTTTCATTTTCTTCTATGTGCAGGTCATTAAGTTTTTGTTTTAACTCGTAAGAATTTACTAGTCTAGAGTTTGAACGGTCTCTAACAGGACGTAATACTGATGCTAAATACTTTGACATCTCATATGTTGGTATGTTCTGGAAGTTAACTATCGGCCTAATGGGATAACCTGCTTTATGAACCTTAATAGTACCGTAAATTCTGCTAGGATTATTAGTTTTTGGCATTAAAGTAAACCATTCGGATTTACCTTTAGATGGCTTCAGTCGGAAGCATATAAATCAACAAACTCACTTAGAGGTAAGCTTTGTCGGCTAAAAGATTCGATAGGACCAACTAGGCAAAATAATATAATCTACCGAATTCCGTGTAATGACTGTGAGATCAAATACATAGGTCAAACTAGCCGGTCGGGGTCAGTTAGGTTAGCAGAACATAGGAATTCAGCTAAACATAGAACGACAGACCCCAATAAGATCAATTATCTAGAAAAACACTCGGCCATTGCATTACACTCATTAACACACAACCACACAATAGGGTGGGACAAAGCCACTGTACTAATATAGCTAGGTGGAGAGAGAGATTAATTACTGAATCTTTGTTCATCGAATACACACACACACCCAACACATGTAGTAGGAATGACGCAACACCTATACCAGAGGTATGGAAAACTTTACTACCAATCAAAAAACAAAAAAACAAAGAGAGATCAGGTGACAGGACTACAAAATCAGATGTCGAAAGAAGTGTGATTACACTGATATGGTTATGAGCAATAATTTGTGCTCCAAACCTAATCAAGTAAATAATACTGTATCACTGTGCTCTATATATCAAATAAACAAATCTAATATGGAAGTATATGGAAGTACATGACGTGAAATGATGCGCTGTATTAACACTATCCTTTTCTGCTGCTGGATGTCACGAATTTTGCTGCGATGAGAATTATAGAATTTTGAAAAAATTTCTCCTAACCTTGACATACTTTCAGTTTACAAACTAGCAAATTCTTACCTTTGCCTAACAGTCACCTCCATAAACTTATGTCAGTGAATATTCTATATCTGTTAACTGAATCCTACTATCCTACTAATACTTAAAACGCAGAATAGGGGGTTCAAAATTTTCCTCATATATCTGAAAAATATCATTTTATTTTGAAAACTAGGTGTAATAAATTTATCCAGACCATAAAAACTAGGTCTACAATGTATGTGATCATCTTCATATGAATATGCATCGCGAAAACAATTAAAATAAACAAAAAGTGCATAGAGAAATCATCCAACAGCTTGTTTTATAAACTTACATGCAATTGTGATAGAACATAGACACGCCTGAGTTACATGGGCAGTAGACATAAACATATTAATGGAATAACGTGAACTACAAAAATCAACCAAAACAGACACTTATGTTGGATGATAATCTCACCCTTAACTGTGATGCTTTTATTGCAGAAATGTTATTTCTGTTACTTAGTGATTGTGTTCTGTTACATATTTAGTCATCTGTTTCCTTTTTTCCTCTTGCTGTCCATCCATATGTAACTAAAGCATATAGTAAATTTTTATGGCATAACATGGTGATGAAGATTTTGTGAATTACACTCACCAGGTGACTGGGTATACTGGTAAACAGCAACAAATACTTCTTCTGAGAAGGAAAGATGGGTGGTGTCTAATTCCTTGACTATACTTCAGACCTAGCGTGTATTTGCATTACTTCAAAGCCTGGAATAACCAAGTAGTATCATGATATATGGTTTATTTATGAACTAAACAGTAGCTAAAAAATTCTACTAAGTACTGGGTAATGTGCTTACTATGGTGTACATTTTTTTGCTTGATACACCGATTAGTTAAAGTTGGTTGTTTTCTAGGTTGAGGGAGTATTTGGGAAACGAAACTATAGATTTAAACTAAACAAATATACTTATCTATATACAGATGTGACTGATACTCTGGAAGTAGTTTTTTCATTTTATTGATTTGAATAACATTAAAAGCGCATAACAACCCTAGTAATACAAACCAGCAAAGAGACGACTTTGTTTAGTCTGTTATTAACTTTTGCACCGTAGTAAGTAACAGTTATTTTTGTTTTGATCACTGCACAACAAGGTTTTCATTTCTAATGTTGGTGTAGATTATTTTTCGAATCTGCCACTTGCATAATTTTTGATACTCTAGAATAAAATTTATAAAAAAAGGTAAACTGATTATTGTTTACAGCTTATTCAGTAAAACTAAGTTTGAAAGAAAACGTTATTTGTACTCTTGATTTTGGAATTATTTCAGTCGCTGTGTTAATAACAAAAGGATTTTAGAATTTTATCGACACTCATCACTTATCAGAGTGCAAGTTATCGAATTGACGAATGCTGAACAGAACGAAACCCTTACCTTATATTCCGCTACAAGTCATCAACAAGTGAAAGATTTTGGAGTTAATATTGTGGTTTGTGTTATCCGTTGTTGAGTGGACCGAAATGATCGGTTTCTACTGAAATATGAGCTCCTGCGATGAGGTTTTTATGTCCCCTGTGCTTGAATGATATATTAATGATGGATAGTGGCTAGCAGCGGAATCTACAACTCACGTTTCATTCCATTTAAGGTCCGTCAACTGGATGTACCTACCTTCCAGTCAGTGATAATACAAACAAAAACATTAAAACTGTACCTGTCGTGAAAGAACTGGCTATCGTAACTCGGTGGTCTAACGGATAACAATCTGGAGCAATCGATCCAAGTTCTGGTCATAGTGGGAACAATATCACTCACTGGGAGGCAGGTTCGTCCAGCTGACGGGTCCCAAATAGGGATGAAACGTGCGTCTTGAGTTCCAGTGCTAACCACTATCTATCTTTGGGGTTTTCAAATTATTTGTAAAACAAGGAGAAAATGAGACAAAAGTTTCAGATTGTAGATGTTCAGTTGTAGGCAGCATATATATCCTAGTGCGTCTGATGACTCTATGCATCGTGCAGCAGACGTTTAAATAGTTCACCCTTAAAGGTTTGAGTTATTTTAACGATTAGAAGAAGGGAAGTTGGCAATAAGGAAAGAGAATGATGACTTATGAAAATTATTTATCCCAAGCTAGTCTATAAAA